TGGAAAGCGGGGCCTTTATGTTCAATAAGGCCAGGGATGTGGTCAACAAAACAGAGGCAATACTTTTAGGCAAACGGATAGCAAAAGATCACAAATGCAGCGAAAGTGAGGATTGGTTGCAATGTTTGCGAGGATTGGATGCAAAAGAGTTTAACAAATACTCAGATCCCGTAACATATCCTGTATTTGAAACTGAATTTCTACCCATTTCTGCGCAAAAGGCATTTGTGAGCAAAAAATATAACTCAGGTTTGGATTTAAAGTTAAAGTTAAAAATTTAATTGTTTAAAATTCAATAGATGTGGATATAATGGCAGGCATTGCCAGCACTGAGGGCTCAATGCTATCCTATTTAGTGCTTCAAATTAAAGATAAGATAACTTTGGATGACTTTATTGAGTACACGAAGCAAACAGACGCTCTTTACCACGGATTTGATATCAAACGTGTGGACGACTATTATCTACAAAATGTCGACAAAAACAGTTCACTTGAGCTCAAGAAAGCGTTTTATCAATTGTTTGGGGATATGATAATGAAATGTCCGACATATCTGTTTGCTAAACAAGTGGCCACAACTGCACAACCTGATCATAATGTATATTTCTACCAGGTCACTTATCAAAACAAATATACTGCTCATACAATGGGCTGCGATAAGGAAGGTATGGGTATATGTCATTGTGCTGAGGCTCCGTTTGTTAGCGGCTGGCCGTTTGTAATACCCGACGCTTATAGCGATATCGACGCTATATTTAGCTCAGACTTAATGAAAATGTGGACTAATTTTGCTAAATATGGGTAAATATTGATGAGAGAGAGAGAGACACTTTCATTTAATTAATTTTAATTATATTTAATAGCAAACCAACCGTAAGCGAAGAGTGGCCACAATTATTGAGTGGAAATACAATTAATGTAAAAAATCTTAACCCAAATCCAAAACCTAATGTATTTATCAATCCATACGACACCACTTGTGAGAGCCTTTGGAAACCATATTTCTTATAAACAATTTGACAAATTAAGAAAAATAAAATTTGTTAATACCGATTTAAACAAAATTTATTATCGTTAAATTTAATAATATGTAATGTAATATTTATTAACATTTATTTATAAACCTATTTATTATGCATTATAATATATAATCTTTAATGAATGTTAATAATTTTATAATTCATAAACATAATTACTATGATTCTTTAAAATCATAAAACTAGTTGTCAATTGTGTTATTTTTTGTGACAATTATTTTGCCTCCGCTATCCAAAGGCCTATTCAAGAGGGCTATTATAGAGAGCGGCGCCCATATGTATAACAAGGATAGGGATATCGTTAGTAAAGATGAGTCAATACTTTTAGGCAAACGGATAGCAAAAGAGCAGAATTGCAGCGAAAGTGAGGATTGGTTGCAATGTTTGCGAGGATTGGATGCAAAGGTGTTCAACAAATATGTAATTCCGATGACATATCCAGTATTGAGGCATTTATGTTAAATTAATCATAAATTTTATTATAAGTATTAATATAATAAATTGCATTTAATGTTTAGATTTGAAGTGTTTTTTTAATTGATGTTTAACAGTAAAGGATTGATTGCAACCGATTTGAGTGCATTTGAATGGTTTGATGTGTAAATGAATTGCATTCATGTGTTGTGTTAATCGAGTTTTATTGTAAAATTGTTTTTCACAGTCATTTGAATTGCATTTATATTTCCGGATATTTAAATGACATCTCTTTTTGTGAGCGAATAAAGTCGTCGATTGTTTGAAACTTTTGTTACAATCATTGAAATCGCAAACAAATAATTTTTCTCCCGAATGAATGCGTTTGTGTTGAATAAATTCTGGTTTTGAGAAAAAATATTTGTCACAATTTTCTTCGTCACATTTGAAATGTTTTTCATTTAAATGAACACAACTTTTGTGTTGAATTAAAGAGGATTTAAATGCAAAACCTTTGTTACAATTTTCTAAATCACAAATAAATGGTTTTTCTCCTGAATGCATGCGTTTGTGTACATTTAGAGCTGATTTTGAGGCATAACTTTTGTCACAATTTTCTTCATTACATTTGAGTTTATTGTCATTCAAATGAACACAACTTTTGTGTTGAATTAAATTTTTCTTTTCGGTAAAACTTTTGTGGCATTCATTGAAATCACAAATAAATCTCACGTTTAAATGAACACATTTTTTATGCTTTTGTAAACCGGCAATTGATTGAAAGGTTTTATTACAATTATTAAAATCACAATTTAATTGTTTTATTTTTAAATGACTTGATTGATGTTGAGTAACATGGTCTTCCCGTTGTGTCTTGTATTGACATTTAGGCCAAAAACAGTGAAAATAATCATCAGTTTTAGTAATGATATGACAATTGTTTAGCATTTTATCACTGATTTTACATGAATTGCAATCAATTGTTTGATTGATTGAAAAATAATCATTATTTTCGCATTCAATCGCTTCACACAAAACACTATTATTTGTATTCAAAATACACTGAATTTTGTCTATTATTTCACACAAACTCTTCATTGCATTTAATTTACTCTTCATTTCAATCAACGAAACACTCATTAATTTTGAACACATTTTCAATGAATAATTAAAACACTATTTAAATACAAAATGAGATCTATATTTGAAATGAACTGAAACTCAATGGAAAAGGAAATGAAATAGTATTTAAACATTATTTACTTTAAACCAAATGTACTGTATATCCTTTACAACACGTGCTCTCATTGATAGTCAAAACCTGTTTACCAAATATTATTACCATGTTTTCAGGTGCAGTATATCATTAGACAGATAATAATCAATTAATGATAAAATAAATAGCAAATCACATTATTTTACATAATTAAACATTTGATTTATTATAAAGTATAACTATTAAATTAATTTTATTATTTAAAATAATAATTATTATTATTATTTATTTTATTTTTATTACAAGAAATAATTTCCCCAAAAGTGTTCACACCTTTCGGTGAAGAGATCAGTAAACATGTATTTATCAGTCAATGGATTCAAATCAAGTACTTTTGTTGCCGAAATATTAGATTTTTTATTCAAAAATTCAAACCATTGTGGATCAGGATTACTATCAAACAAAAAGCACACAAAGTTTATTTTATCATCTAGTTAATGAACAAATTTAATTTCAAAATAGATACCCTGTTTTAGCGAAGTTAGTCCACATCTGCATCACTTGTTTACTAAACGTGATATCAATAGCCGTAAAATTGCGGCCATCCATAACAGGGACACCAAACACAAAGGGCAAGTCTGCCATATGGCAAATGCCCATGGTGCTCTCCACGCAGCCCACATTTACCATGCTCTTACTCTGATAGGTCTGTTCGTAGTAATACACGCGACTATCCGGCGATTTTGTACCGTATTGTTTGGCATAGAGATATGCGGGACAATTGATCCACACGTCGCCCACCATATCATAGAAAGTGTGTTTCAGGGACTGGGAGTCCGATGTGTTCACACCTTTCAGGTAATAGTCTTTGACGGCCGGTATGTCTATGTCTTTGAATCGATTGTTCAGCTGATCCATCAGGACATCGAAGTCGGTTTCGTTAATATCTCTGGCAAACATCCAATTGAAAGCCGCCCGCGATACTAATGAACCCTCATTTCGGGACACGCCCACCATGATGTCTAGACCTAGATTATATAAAGTTAGCTTAATCATTAGTATTACTTTTCATTGCAAACTGTAAACTGTGCATGATAGATTTTATTTCATTATAATATTATGTCTTATGTATNCTGCCGAACAGAGCGCACATCTGAATGGAGAGTCGCCTGAAAGTAATTTTTATATTAAATTACAGTTAACTACTAGTCGTATGTCTAACCCGTATGAGTGCGCAAATGGACCACAAGTTGCGATGAGTTACGGCTCGCGTATCGACAGAGTTGGCATTTATAGGGCCTTTCGTCTGTTGAACACATCGTAAGTATTTTGAAATAATAGAAAAGCTATGGCTTTATGTTATACCTGTGTGTATGCGATTGTGTTTCACAAGACTGCTTCGATCGCTGGCCGCATAAGAACCTAGAGTTTGATGATATAATCATTCAAACAAGGATCACACAGCGATGCTATACGTTAACCACTATTCGGGTAATGCTCAAAGAATAGATTAGCATTATCTCCACATTCAATACGAGTCCATAGGATTAGCACTCCCCATAGACTTAACATTAGTCTATAGGATTAGCATTAGTCTCATTGAGTTAGCATTATTCATGTTATTCCTATGACATAGACTTAGCATTGCCATAGACTTAGCATTACCCATGTTATCCCTATGCTATAGACTTAGCATTACTCATGTTATCCCTATGTCATAGCCTTAAGCTGTAATCCGATAGAAACCCATGTTAAAGCATTCTCCCATAGACTAATCATTAGTCCCATAGGATTAACATGGAGAAAAACTACCCTTTCCCTTTATATTTCGCATTTCCATAGGAAATAAGTCTCCCATAGGATTAACATTACCCATAGGATAACATTAGCCCATGTTAAGTCTATGGAAAAAGCTCCATAGGATTAGCATTACCCATGTTAAAGTATAGCCATAGACTTAAGCTGTAAAGGCTTTTCTCCCGTATGGCTTCGCACATGTAATTTCATTTTATCGGATCGATTGAAAGTTCGGTCACAAATGTCACACTTATATGGTTTCTCTCCCGTATGTATCCTAATATCAAATAGTTTTACCAATTATTTTATTTCAAACAATTAATATTTAGATTAATAATCACACCTATAGTGTCGGATCAGATCTTTGAGATAATGAGTGGTATATTCACAGTTGCTATTAATGCTCTTGAATTCACATTTGAATTTTTTGTTGTTTCCTATAATAACTTCATTTTAAAGATAAATTAAAAATTATTGCCATTAATTAGAAAATAAATACCATTAGAGTAATAGATTGAAATGTCTGTGGATGTGGTCATTGACTGAATCGCATCCGATTCCATCTCAGTGTTAATTGTGGTCGTCGTAGTTGTCATTCCCATCGCCGAAGTGTCCGTATCTAAAGACGGCATTTCTTGGCTTTCATTTGAGTTCACATCTATTTCGGGCAAAATTTTGTCCACTTTTGGTGAACTTTTAGCCAATGGTTTGCATTTCTTTTGTTTCGGTGGACTTTTATTCCTTCAATGGATAATACATTTAAAAAATAAATCACAAAAATAACCAAACATTTTGAAAATACTTTTTAATTGATTTCTCAAAACTTTTTTTAGTGGATTCATTGGGAGTGCAATGAGTGGCCGATTTTAATGGCTTCTTATGACACACTTTTCAAGAATGTACTCTTTTTTGGGCAAATTTTTCAGTTTAAACCTCTGGTCGTCACTAAATGTGTCACAAATGGGAATTTCATAAGTAATTAGGTTTGAGATAATTTCCTTTTGATCAAAAAGATCCGATAAGTAGTGATCGTCACTGAAATCTTCCGATTCTTTAGCCAATCTCTCGGCTCTTCTTTCGCTATAACTTTTGTGTTCGGGATCTTTGATATCAATTAAATCATTAAACTCTTCGACAATTCTGGCCACAACTGCCGAGTATTGGTTTGCAAAGCCATACGTCTTTCCAAACAATAACAAATCGTCGGTTTCCTGTCTAACTGTTTGCTCTAAATGCCAGTCAAAGTCCTCATCAATCGATTCAATTGAAAGACTAGTCCCGGTGTCCACCTCTTGACTGCTAATCACTTCAATCAATGGCAGTCTATTTGATTCGTCATTAGATTTATTTGACAACAATTTAGTCAATAAATCTAATCCTTCGAAATGCTGTCCTTTAATCAATTTTGAAATCTTCACCACAAATGTGCCGTTCGTTGAGTCGTAATCTGTCTCCTCTTCGCCGTCTTCAATCACTTTTGACGGAAGAGTTAATCTAAACAATTAGTTTAAAGAGAAATCAACATTTTTAAAGACTTATAAGATAAATAAATTTAATTTAATGATGGTTAATGTCATTTAGAACAATAACATTTACACAAATTCTAACGCTAAACAATAATTTAGGAATATGTTATTTAGCCTATATTATTAATATGAATAGTTAGCAAGGAACATTTAACATAAATATAACATCACATAATGGATATTTGAAATGACGATATAATACCTGAGATAATATGGCTTTGAATAGAAGCTAAAGTTGTTGTCTTCGAATTGGATTTCAGTGTCTGTTATCCTAGCGTTTGGAGCCTTTATACGAATGAATAGGAAATTTTGATCCTGAGTTATACTGAATATCGGTGTCAACATTTTCCACACCAATCCGCAGGTCTTAATATATCTGAAACCATTAGAAAACATTGAAATTAAATCATATATGAGACGGCACATTAGTTATAGAATAAATATCATTTAAATAACTAAACCTATTGCTTATAAGATTTAAACATATTTAAATAATTAATTAAAAGTGTATTAAACGGCTTAGGGTCGAGTTGGAGAGTGGGTGCCTTTCTACTGGTGAACGCGGCGTTAGGCGCCGGTGTCCTCAACTATCCGGTCGCTTACGACAGATTGGGAGGTCTGACAGCCGCTACTTTAGTTCAATTGGTTTGATTATAAATTTGCAAAATTCTTTAATACTTATGCTTTAATTTTGTTAACAACACATTAGGTTATAATCGCAATGTTAGCGTCAACAATGTTAATACTAATATACTGTTCGGATATCAATAATGACAGCACATATCACGACGTCTTGTTGTCGATGTGCGGCAAAAGAGCCCAACAATTAGCCGCAGCCTCTATAATGTGCACTTGTTTTGGCATTAATGTTACGTTTCTTATAATAATAGGCGATCAATACGATAGAAGTATTGTATATTCAATCAAAAAGCTTAAAAATGATGCTAACATTAAATTGTCTTTGCATTAAGTGTTCGCAACTTATGTCGGCTCACAGTTCTGTCACACATGGTATCTGAACAGAAACTTTACAATCTCTGTGACGGCCATTGTCTGCATTTGGACCATGTGTTACTTCAAAAGACTCGACTTCTTGAGATATGCCAGGTTTGAGTTCAACACATATTTAATATCATAAATGGTTTCAATAAAAAATATAACTTTGAAACCGATAGCACTCTCGGAGTATTCGCAATGCTTTACGTCGTCTTCTTAAATATATACGAATACCTAATACTAGAGACAACTCCCGGACCCATCAAAACCAGGTAATTATTTCAACAATAAATAGCCAAATAACCAATATATTCATCATTTTTTAAAAATAAATGTTAGCCCAACCAGTATTGTGAGTCTATTCGCAGCGCTTCCAGTAGTCTGTTTCGCATATCAGGTAAATAATTGTATTTAATATTGCTATAAAACATCACGATATGAATGTGTGTCGGCTATTAGACCCACGAAATAGTGGTCCCGATCTACGCGTGTATGGCTGACAGGAAATTAAAGTCTTTCTCAAAAGCGACGGCTTTGGCTCTCGTTCTCCTATTCGTATTGTACTGTCTTTCGGGAACTTTCGGTTATTTAACTTTTGGCGCTTATGTATCACCGGATATAATGGTAATATTAAGACCATCATCACATCTAATAGTCATCACATTTTTATTTTTACTTTGAACTTTATTTTTAAAGCAAATGTTTGACGCGAGGGATCCGGTAGTGGCCGCAGGTATATATCAATTCATTTAGAAATAAGCGTTTAATTAAAAGATAATTATTTGACAATTTATAGGAATCTTTGCGTTAATAATCAAAATGATCACAACATATGCGCCTCTTATGTTCTGTGGCAGGTATAGTATAAACTCGTGAATTTGTTTTTAAATTAATTAATATATTTGTATAATTCAATTAAAGAGGAGCTCTCGACGGACTATACGCTGAAATCACAAAACTCTCGACAGAGGACTTTATTGGCGGCGAATTGAAGCGTCGGATAATCATAACGAGTATCTGGAATACAGTGGTACTCATCTTATCAATAGTCACGCCAAACATAACCATCGCTATCGAACTCTTGGGTTTGAAACACAATTTTCTCATTTCTTATAAACACTCCTAGACGGCTTTGGCTCTCGTTCTCCTATTCGTATTGTACTGTCTTTCGGGAACTTTCGGTTATTTAACTTTTGGCGCTTATGTATCACCGGATATAATGGTAATATTAAGACCATCATCACATCTAATACTCATCACATTTTTACTTTGAACTTTATTTTTAAAGCAAATGTTTGATGCGAGGGATCCAGTAGTGGCCGCAGGTATACATCAATTCATTTATAAATAAGCGTTTAACTAAAAGATAATTTATTTGACAATTTTTTAGGAATCTTTGCGTTAATAATCAAAATGATTACAACATATGCGCCTCTTATGTTCTGTGGCAGGTATAGTATAAACTCGTGATTTTGTTTTTTAAATTAATGAATATATTTGTATAATTCAATTAAAGAGGAGCTCTCGACGGACTATACGCTGAAATCACAAAACTATCGACAGAGGACTTTATTGGCGGCGAATTGAAGCGCCGGATAATCATAACGAGTATCTGGAATACAGTGGTACTCATCTTATCAATAGTCACGCCAAACATAACCATCGCTATCGAACTCTTGGGTTTGAAACACAATTTTCTCATTTCTTATAAACACTCCTAACCTCTAAATTATGCGATAATCAACTGTTGATTCAATGCATCACTTGTTTACAAACTTTTTTTAATATTTCAAACATGCGTTGAGAATGTGATAAGAACAATTTTCTCATTTCTTATAAACACTCCTAACCTCTAAATTATGCGATAATCAACTGTTGATTCAATGCATCACTTGTTTACAAACTTTTTTTAATATTTCAAACATGCGTTGAGAATGTGATAAGGTTTGTCTTTATTTAGATAAACAAATAGGAATTTCCGATATATTTAATCGGCTTTTCGTTTAAATTAAAATTTTAAATTATTTAAATAGTTTTGAAAAGTTTAACCAACCCTTTGGCACTACTAAAGGCTTAACTAAAACTAGATTTAGTTTTAGGGAATAAATGATATGATTATTGTTTGATTCACTATACGAGTGCTTCTCTCTATAAACTATATAAATCTAATTCAATTTCTCGATTAGACTATCAGTAAATATTGACATAACATGAATGGAAACTGAATTAATTGATTGTGTGGTTGTAATGATAGGTTCATTGGCGGCGTGTAATGTATTTGTATTCCCGGGCCTATGTATGGTAGCTCTGGCCAAACGGATGGCACACTTCGGCGATCACGTCCTCTTCAGTAAAGGGCTTTATATCTACGGATTTCTGGTCATAATTACCGGCGCTTTCATATTTGTCATTGTCTTCATTCAAGTTATCAATGATTTGCTTTACTCTGAAGGAGAGACTCTTCTCTGCAAATAACATACCATTCATTGCTTTTCAGACACTTTTTGCGAAGAAATTCACAACTCTTTTAATATAATGTCATTTTAATGTCTGTTTTATCATATCTTTTAAAAGTCGATCCAATATATAGTAAATGCAAATATATTTAAGTGTTTTGTATTCATTTTAACTTAATTTTATTCAAACATTTATTTCTCTTAATCAAAAAATTCAATTGTATTTAAAATTCATACAAAAAAATAAATAAAGTTTTAAAAACCAATTGAAAAAACTATCGAAACTTGAAAAGCAATCAAATGATACTTAAATTAATCAAAAAACAAGTTTCAAAGCATTTGAAAGTTTGCGCCGATTGTAAGCATTCATTGGAAGAGCGCATAAAGTAATCACTAAAGCATACAATAGTTGTGCGAAAATCAGAGCAAATGTTGTGTCAATTGTCTCTCATTTGACACTCAATTATCGCAATCAGTGGTCAAACGGATCGCCCATTCATTGGCCGCAAAACAGCATTCAATCAAAACTTACGTCAATTAGTGGTGTATTGGATGTCAGCGACGGATCCGATGGACAGAGACTTGAGTTCAGGTAAGAGTTGTTTTGTATTTGAAGCAAAAAATGAGCGAAACGTGAGTTCAGGTTTGGGGCCAACGCTTGCCATACATTGCCATACATTACGACACACTATAAGCCGACCATTAGTTTGTGTTTGCATTCAATTTGAATGCTTTTCGCAACCATTTGTGTCATTTGTTTTGCAAACGTATTATTACTGAACTGAGCTTTAGATGCATGACTTGCATTGAAAATACATTAGTGGCCATGTATAAGCATTAGTGCTGACACACACCTTTAACACACCAATGCATTGTATACTATAGCGTATGTTAAATGTGTGTGATATGCGTTTGTGATTGGGAACTGTCGGCCTTCTTAGCTAATGTTAAATCCCATTGAAAAACAAATCTAAAATCGTTGACTTGCGCCTGCGCTCTAAACAACTGCATGTAATTTTTCTTGTACTAATACACGTCTGACTGAAAGTATGACTCAAACTATGAGTAATTTGTAAACAATTTGTGGACCAGTTTTGAAGCGAAGACACAATCCGTGTCTTCAAAAAGCGTTGTCTGTAATAATGATTGAGTTATTAAACTCGCGAAGAATGGCAGTAATTGTGGTGATTCTGATAGCGGTGTGTATTGTTGTGATCATATGGGAGGACCTGTTGGCCGATAATGTGGACAAACCGTCGCCGCATAGACTCAGCCATACTGTGGACGACCTCCTGATGGCCAACAGGTCGGCCGCCAATGCCATCGTCGGAGGCAATGGTGTCCTCAATTCAAGTCATGTCAAACACATTGAGAGCGAGAATACGAAAACTGAGTCCAAGTGTTGGCGTTTCCAAGAGTTTGAAGTGTTGTCCGGATGTGATGTTTGCGATGTCGAGGACACGCTGTCCAAGCATTTGATCGCTTGTCACACTTCAGGCTTCAAACAACTGGTGAAATGCCATTCAATTGGTTTAACGTATCGATCGTGCGATACATCCGAAGCAAACTTCTGGGTCTTCGAGTTTTTGATGATTTTTGTGTCCATTTTTAGCTCATTTTACGTCAATTTAAGGCAAAGATATATTAATAGGAAAACTATTGAACGAATTGAACGACAGATCGCTTCTTAGTATTGAATTATTGTTTAATAAATTGTTTATTAATAATTACGTTAACTTTTTTTGAGTTGTATCTAGACTTTACTCAGAGTTTATTCTTTTATATACTGTATATAACATATAATCTTAATTGTATATAAAATCTAAATAAATAATTTTTAAATACATTAAAAATGATTTTTAATTAATTGTATATAAAATGTGCTGAATTTAGATGAACCGGAGGAAGACATCCATATTTGTGGTGTTTGTAAGCAGTCGTTTGGAGACATCAATACATTTGTTAACCACAAGAAAGTCTGTAAACATAAGAAGCCATTAAAATCGGCCACTCATTGCACTCCCAATGAATCCACTAAAAAAAGTTTTGAGAAATCAATTAAAAAGTATTTTCAAAATGTTTGGTTATTTTTGTGATTTATTTTTTAAATGTGTTATCAATTGAAGGAATAAAAGTCTACCGAAACAAAAGAAATGCAAACCATTGGCTAAAAGTTCACCAAAAGTGGACAAAAGTTTGCCCGAATTAGATGTGAACTCAAGTGAATCCCAAGAAATGCCGTCTTTAGATACGGACACTTCTGCGATGGGAATGACAACTACGACGACCACAACCAACACTGAGATGGAATCGGATGTGATTCAGTCAATGACCACATCCACAGACATTGCAATCTTTTACTCTAATGGTATTTATTCTCTAATTAATTCGGCAATAATTTTCAATTTATCTTTCAAATGAAGTTATTATAGGAAACAACAAAAAATTCAAATGTGAATTCAAGAGCATTAATAGCAACTGTGAATATACCACACATTATCTCAAAGATCTGATCCGACACTATAGGTGTGATAATTGATCTAAATATTAATTGTTTGAAATAAAATAAATGGTAAAACTATTTGATATTAGGATACATACGGGAGAGAAACCATATAAGTGTGACATTTGTGACCGAACTTTCAATCGATCCGATAAAATGAAATTACATGTGCGAAGCCATACGGGAGAAAAGCCATACCAATGCGACCAATGTATGAACAGTTATTTTATTGTTAGTGACATTTTTGATTATTATATCATCAAACTCTAGGTTCTTATGCGGCCAGCGATCGAAGCAGTCTTGTGAAACACCAACGCATACACACAGGTATAACATAAAGCCATAGCTTTTCTATGATTTCAAAATACTTACGATGTGTTCAACAGACGAAAGGCCCTATAAATGCCAACTCTGTCGATACGCGAGCCGTAACTCATCGCAACTTGTGGTCCATTTGCGCACTCATACGGGTTAGACATACGACTAGTAGTTAACTGTTATTTAATATAAAAATTACTTTCAGGCGACTCTCCGTTCAGATGTGCGCTCTGTTCGGCAGCTTTTAAGATAAATTCCGATTTGAAAAGGCATATGAAGATCCATACGGGAGAGAAACCATTTGCATGCGAACACTGCTCTTACACTTCGGCCACAAAAGGCAATCTTCAGGTCCACAACAAACTCAATCATTCCGATGAAAGTCAAATGATTTGCAATGAATGCCAATTCATCGCCCCCTCAAAGAAAGCACTCAAAGAGCATATGAGAGACCACAACCTGAGGTCATTGTCGTGTGATTATTGCAATTACACGACTAGTTCGCGATCTGCTCTCAACACTCACATCAGGTCTGTGGCAATAATACTGGTCTTTAAACAGTTATTGAGTGTATATTTGGTTGCAATCCAACAGAACTCATACAAACGAGAAGCCGTTCATGTGTTTGGTCTGCGGTTATGCCTGTCGTCAGGCGTGTAATCTTCACACGCATATGAAGAAAAGGCATCCAAACACTGACATCGAGTCCACTCCCAAACCTAAAACTAAATCTCGAAATCAAATACCTTTGAGAAGCAGTCAAAGAGTGTCCAAAAACAGAGCTTATTGTCAGACGATATTTCCGTGTCATTTATGCGACTGTTCTTTCGTGAGAGAGGACTCACTTCGAAGCCATCTTCGCCACCATCAGGACCTCATTCCCACCACTGGTGCCGCTCTCGCTATACTTCAACTCCAAACCGATGAAGACGTTGTGGACAGCGATAAACAAAACGATATAATCGCCGAACAAACGCAACCCCAAGAACTCGAGTTAGAAATGGACACAAATGCCAAGAGTGTTGAGACCGTCGCCGTCGACAGTCTTCTCTACCAACGATTGATGAATAATATGGAGACCAATAGCGAGCACTCATACAACCGGTCGATATCTACTAAAAGTACCACAAAAAGGGGTCGACCGCTGAAGATATCGCAGGGTCTCGAAGCGGATCCATTGCCAAAGCCTTTACAATTGGTTCCATCGCCGACCCCTTCGGGACAAGTGGTCTATCATTTGCCGCAATCAATGCGTTTGGTTTCATACGTTCCCATCGGAAACAACTCTAATGTGGACACCGTTTACGTCATAAACAGCGATGCAATTGATCCCAACAGTGATTCGCAGACAATGGCAACGGATGGCAATCAATGATAATTACATTTTTGTGTTAATATAATCTCATTTTAATAAATGTTTCAATTTTTCTCTAATCATTAAATTGACCACAAATTGAGTCTAATTTATAAATATTATTAACAAATTGTTTTGAATTACATATCAATTGAAAGAAAGCATAAATGAATTGAAATATAAGTATTGAAATGAAGTGACAAATGGTTTGTGGCGTTCATTGGATGTCCTGATCGTCGAAGAGGTCCTCGAAGTCGTTGAAGAAGTCCGAGTGAACGAGCTTTTCGTTTTGGGTCAGGTCTATGGTGAGAGCGGATCCCGAGCCGATGTCATCCATGTCCAGGAATGGGTGCACCCCTTCCGGGAACATCTCGTCCGCCACTACTGTCGGCTTCATTCAGATTATAACTCAAGAGTTGGGATCAAATGTGGACACAATTGCAGACAATTCAACACAAACTCAAACAACGAAAACAAATGCTTTTCATTCAAACCATTCAATAGATGTCACGTCTATTGCCTTCAAACCACTTATATTTCACTTTTTATGCATTTTTCAATACAGTTCTTAAAACTTGATTTTATTTAAACTTTTGCTTAAATTTATTGAATTAACGGCAAAACTATACAAGTTTTATGTTAACATTTAAAGCAGTTTTTTCTTGAAAGCAGTTTTAATCGTAAAATTTATTAATTCCTTTATTTTGTTTTCCTCGCAATCTGTCAGCAATTCTTGTCTATTATTCACTGTATTATCAAATAAAGTGTTAAACTTCTTAATACAATTGCATTTGAACAATACAATTGAACAATGTAAGCTAAACATTTTTTTGCAGCATATGTATAGTCTATTATATAATTACTGTAATATACTGTATCTTTAAAACATATTAAATGGCGCTAAAACTTTATTTAAGTTGCAATACTGCAAAAGTAATGGTTAGTATTTTTACAATTAGTCAATCAATTAAATATTTAGCATTTAGTGAATTCCACTTTTTACAACTTTTTTGTAATTTATAGTGAATAAGAGAGCCATGAATTAAAGCAGTGATTAAATGTAGAAATAAAAAAGTAGTGAATTGATTATATCTATCGTTTACGACACTTTCAATGAGCCATTAAAATGGTTTATATCTATGGGAATGCTTAACAATTGCGCTCTCTTTGTGTGATCTGTGAAACGATGAGATATTGTTTCGGACGTATAGTCCTTATGTGTAAAGAATGTGAAACAGCAGTGATTTTTGGTTGAGAAGACGGCAATCGAGAGATTGACAAAAGAGTTAGAAAGTACTGAATATCTATTGCATTGCATTACACGACTGTTCACTACAACAATAGCTGATAGCATAAAGTGAATCAAAAGCTGTGTCTCATATATAGAGCATCACTCGTAAGACTCTTTTCACTCATCATTTTCGCTCTCATGAGCCGATTGAGCGGTTGTTCCCCAAAACTCTCCCTCTCTTTCACTCTCACTACTCATGTTTTATTTGAGATTCAATTCAATCTTAGCTTTTGTCCCATTTCTCCCATTCCTTCACCGCTTTTCTCATCTCTCAAACGCAAAGTTTTCAATTCAATCAATTCTCTTCACTTTCGCATTGAATTTTGTGAAAATTGAAAACTTTTCCATAAAATTAAATCAATTGTTTGGACGAATATATTGCTTAATATCTGTAATAAACAATTAATAAATATTGTTATCAAAATTAGTGTGGAAATGAATTTTAATGAATTGTTCACAGAAGTGGGCGATTATGGCAAATATCAGAAATTGATGCTATGGTTTGTGTTATTTCCATCACAATTGCCATATTTGTGTCAAATCTATTCACATCTATTCATGTCGATAACGCCGGACCACTGGTGCAAAGTGTCACTCCTGGACGCGTATAACGTGACCGACCATTTCAATCGACACCTATTTGTGCCCAAGAAAGACAATGTTCTCCATAGTCTGCAATACGAACAGTGCTTTGTTTATAACATCTCTTATAACACATTAGTAGAGCACAGCATTCAAATCGGTTGGATTCCTAACCAGACGTGGCCCATAACCAAGTGCTCCAATGGCTGGGTCTATAACAGGACACATCTCGGAGACGACCACTCCATTATAACCAAGGTCTATTCCATTATAACCATTCTCGAAACATATTTATTTAATCGCGATTTATTATTTTATTCAAAAACTGTTACCATACACAATTAGGACTCATAGATTATTGAATATTAATTTTGCCCTTAAATGACACTTACTTGCAATACAGTTACAATTCTTGCAACTCTTTACGGGTGAAATAAATTCATTGCAAAACTCGTTATATTTAACTCAATATATTTTAACTACATTTAAATTATATTTAATTTATTTTTACTTCTTTTATAATTTACAACATTTAAGTGATTAAATAAATTTTTAAAAGCAATAATTGTTATAAAATTTTGGGAAATATATATTTAAAAAATAATAATCTTAAAAGATAATATTTTGAGGCTTTTATAAGCATAAATGATTATGGTTAATTAATTTTAATTATAACTGAACATATTGCAAATTACATTTGTTGTAATTATTAAAAGTTTTATATATACTTTAGCAAAATTGTTGCAAAATATTTGTCAAAATTTAAATTTATTTTCATGTTTTAACTTAATTTCGAGTGAAATAGCATTTGAGGAAATTATGCCATAAATATAACTTTATTCAAAACATTTAACGCATGTATGACTCGGAATGCACTAAACATTTATATCATTTAAGATGTTTACCCTCCCATTCCTGCCATCCCTGCTATGCCTGTGCTGTGCCTTTAGAGAGAGCACTACTTTATTGATCTAATTCTTTTCAAAACTACTTTCATAACAATGAAAAACGAATTTACTTTTACTTCAAAAAACTCTTCGAACATAAACTGATTTATGGCTTCAAATGTTTGCCATTTATTGATTATCACTCTCTTATCTAAATTATAATTACTCTCTTTTTAATTAAATTGTAACTAATTTTGAAGCGAAAAAGCTATTAATTGAGAGCATTTGTGTTAATTCGGTTATCAGTACTAAATATATACACTTTTTAAAGTTTTCAATCTTTTAAAAATTAATTTCAGATTATTTTATACTTTGAACACAAACTTTGCTAATAATTATACAACAGTGAAGTCATGAGTAAAAAACTGACAGTTTTTGATGTATTGTTTTCATTTGAAAGCAATGTTTGCCTGATTTGTCACAAACTCTAGTGTTTTAATGTTTGCGTTGTTTAATAAGAATGACTACAAGAAAGCAAAAGTAAGAGTAAAGCAAAATAATATTATGAGTAAAAAGCTTTTTGACACAAAAGTGACAGAGAATTCGTGAGTGAATTGTATTTCATCTGAGAGTTCATTGAATTAAATAATAAAGAGATTCAATTCAGTGACTGGTATTGAATGTGATTTATTGGAGCAGAATATCTAATCCAATGACAAATGTTTGGAGGAATAGAAATATGTATTCCTCGCATATATGACAGCATAATATGACTAAACATTTAAAATATGTCTTTAAGTAACTGAATGTTCAAAAAAAAGTCTTAATGCGATTCTTGGAGTCCCTCTGAGAGTGTGAGTCGTGTTAAGCACTCGAGTGAATGTGAGTGTAGGGATGGGATGAGAGAGAGAGAGAGAGAGAGAGAGAGAGGAGTGATACCATCCATGAGATGAGTTCTCTATCCATTGAAACAAAATTTGCAGAAATCTACTCAACCATATGAGCCATGAAGTCGTCATTTTTCACGACTATTCAACAAATCGGAGTCAATCATAATTCACTGCTTTCACTGCACTAAACACTCGACAAACACTTTTTGTTTCATTGTTTTATACACACATCACACGATTCCTACCATAGAATGCCTGTCAATGCCTGACATTAAATTAGTTTTTAATGTATTTATTGTAGTTTTGAAATAAATCCAATTATATTCTGTTGTTGTTATCAATATTTAATATACTTTGCTTTTCTGTACAGAAAACAATTAAGTTTTTATTTAATTCATGTCTCGATTAATACATTTATTTATAATATAGGTAAAAATATGCTGAAATTTTTAATTGATTAAATTTTAGTTCCTGTATATACAGTAGGATAACAGTTAAGGAAATTTAATGAAGAGTATCTAAAAAAGCATTAAAAGTCATTAGTAATTAGTGTTGTCACGAATGTAACTTACATATCTTACCGACGTAATTTACAGTAAATTACACGTAAATTACAGCAAAATTTGAATCTTACATGTAACTAACAAATGATCATTACTTGTCAGTCCGCCAACAAATGCTTTAATTGAGACAAAATTTAGTAATTATGATTTTGACAACAACTTTGAAGATATAATTAATATTTTGTTTTTAATTTGAATTAAATATAATCAATCTTTAATTAATAGCTAATTTATAGTTAATTAACAAGTATTAATTATTTAATTAAAAGTTGAATTTTACGGAATCTTACGGTAAATTACGTAATATTACATGTAACGTAAGATTGAAATGAATATTACGTGTAAAATAACATCACTATTAGTAATACATTAAATGAAAATTCAATATGCACATAAAGTATCAATAAAATAATTATATTAAATTAAATTAAAAGACAATTTAAACCATTTTTTCTAAAACATTATAAATATTTGTACAATTAATATCATGATAATATAGTAAAATAATATAAGATGTTTTGTTTACTAATAATTATTAATATAAACAATTCGTTAATACTTATTTATATGCTGAGAAAATTATTCCCTCTTTTATATGAATTGAAGACATACACTATTGTATAGTAACCAATATTTAACGTTTTATGAGACAATCAGTCAAAAAGCAAATCTAATATCGAGTTAACTTATTATTGATTGTTATTAAAGCCAATGAAAAATTGCTTTCTTTTAGTCAAATGTCTTTTCTTTTCCTTTCAGTTATTGTTTTATTTCTCGTCTCTTATTATGACTTATTCTTTGCATTTCTGCAAAAAAAGACTTCACTTCTAGTTCTTGTCATTTAAGACTGAATTCTTTTATTCAATTTCCAGACGTTAACAATAATATATAACAAATTATATATTTATATCAACTTTAATATATCTATATTTAAATTTAATAAAAATCAATGCTAATGAGGAATACACGCCAACTGACAAATTATTAGATTATTATTTATTTCAATTTGCTTTTTAAAAAAAAGTTTAGCATTTTTTTGTATTTAAGTTAACATTCTTTAGTTATTTTTAACATTAAAAATGAATTTATTTTTGAGAAGCATTAACAAATAATTTCTCCATTTGTAACATTAAAGTGGGATCTGGTCTGCGATCGAGCTTTTATACAAACAATACCAATAATCGTCTTCTTTTCCGGAAGTTTTTTTGGTGTAATGTTTGGAAATGTATTATCAAATAAGTAAGACATTGATTATATTTATATTAAAATAATGCCATAAAACCATAAAATTGTTTAATTAAAATACAGAATTGGACTGAAAAGTACATATTTTGTGATGTTATGCCTTCAGTGCCTTTTCGGTGGTTTGATTGCATTGAGCACTCGATTTGATATGTTTTGTATTTTACGATTTGGTGTCGGATTCTGTATCCCAAACATCGCTTCAATTCCCAAAAATCTTTGTGAGTTTGAGTCCAAAACAATTACAGAATAAATCATTTATCCAATCGTTTGCTTGAGTTATATAACGTTATATATTAATAGAAACTAATTTTGGGCAAAACTAATGATATAATAAGAGAAAAGCAAACAGAACTCAATCTATTATTTTGTTATAACAGCTCTTGAGTTGACATCACAACAAAAAGGAGCACAAGTTTTATTACTGTGCGAATTGTGGCGAAATATCGGGGCTTTGCTTCTCGTTTTGATCTCGTATTTGATCCGAGACTTCAATCACTTAACTGTTGCCATAAGTGTCCCTTTTATGGTATTTCTGTTGTATTACTGGTGAGTATTAACGCAAAAATGAGATTATTTAAAGAAAATATGATTTTTAGTAACAATGTTTTGAAGGCTATTTCCAGAGTCTCCCAAATGGCTTATAATGAATGAACGCATTGAAGACATCGATAAACTGGTCAGAGATATCGCCACAACTAATGTCACATTACTTTCCCCTGATTTCAGTATTGCATTGCGGGTAAGGGTTTAATGAACTGAACTCAACATAATTTGTCTCATTTTAAGTATCATTTCTTTTCCATTGCTTTCATTTGCAAACTCGTAAGAGAAGAATCCGAGTCGAGTGCGCTCTTCAGACTGAACTCAAAGCCCAACAAAAGCATTCACTTCTCATTCAATCACTTTCTTTGCCCAAAATGCCCCTCAAAGTCATCACCATTTGCTTACTATATATCACACACTCTATTACTGACATCGGATTCACTTATTATATAATTGAGTTTTCAGGTAATTATCCACCAAATAATATGGTATTCATTAAAAATCTCACACAATATTTAAAAAACATGATATCCTTAATGAATGCGCGAAATTATTATTGATTTTACATAAAGAAAAAACATTAAAATATATTCATGAATATAATTTGTCTGAAAATCCAAAAATCCAATAAATTGTCAGAGAGTCGAGGAAATGGTGACATATATTTCCCATTTTTGGTCGTTATTATCTCTAACTTCATGGCACTTGTGATCGCGAGAATCACTTTAAAGCGTTTTGGTAGAAAATATACGATGACTTTTGGCGATATACTGTCGGCTCTGTTCAGTCTTATGTGCGCTTTCGTCAAACATAAAGACATCAATCTATGCATTATATACTTCGCGTCCGCCAAAGTGTTTCAGTCGTCCTCACAATACTGTCTCTTCATTTGGAGCCAAGAATTACTTCCCATTCCTTACTATTACTCTATCATCGGTTTATGCGAAACAGTGTCTCAATTGGCACTAATATCAGTGCCGCTCATTATTTTCTATGTAAGTCTAATCCCTTTTCAGTTTAAACAAATTGAACAAAACATTACTTAACCGACCGATCGATTCATTTGACTATAATTTATTGATTTGTAGTCCATTTGTAGTACACTTTAAGTATCGCACAATTGATTATCAAATACTGTATTCATTCAATACAACACTTACTTTGCAGTAATTCTTTGTTCTAAAAGATCAGCACTTCTTTGATTTCAAATAAATAACCAAATCATTTACATTATTCAACACAATTACAGAATATTCTCTAGAGTTAGTCAACTCAAACAATCTCAGTGACCATCATGTTTAG